TCCTCTGCCACGTGTAATTATTATACAATTGAAACGTTTTACGTTTGATGATTCAAATAATAAAATTCATACATTTGTTAGATATCCATTGCAAAATTTAAATATTGGAAAATATCTTGCCCAAACACTAAGTAATCAACAACAACCCAAGACAATTTACAATTTAATTGCTGTATCAATGCATACTGGTAGTTCATTACGTAGTGGGCATTATACAACATATGCAAAACATTCTGTTACTGGAGCTTGGCATCATTTTAATGATAATTCTATAGAACTGGTGCGAGACAAAATGAGTGTTATTTGTGACAAAGCTTATGTGTTGGTCTATTTAAAAAGGACATAGTTAATATTAGTTAAGTTCATATTAAGTGTTTTGTTTCCATATAGTTAAGTTCTTTTTCTCCTTAATGCATATTATTTCTTGGTTATTTAATAAAGAGCATTTTTTCATTTTATCGTTTTTGACTCTTCTAATACATTCATGATGTTGCGTTATTTAAGACAAAGAAATGAAAGACACTTCCAAGGGTCTTTTTTTGAATACTACGAGTTTTACGTTGATAACTGTTCAAAGTCTTTAAGACATGAATTTTGTGTTTCATTTTGCTATGATTTTCAGATAGAAATACAACAAAAGATATATAAATTAAAATGGCTGATGGAAAAAAATTATCTATTTCTCACTGCTGGCGCGAACTTTAGTTTAATTCAGTAGTAGCAAAACAGTAAGTATAAAACTGCTCTGAAACCCTTTATTTCTATTTTAAAGTATTCGTAACGTTCGTTGGAAGACTGGTCTGTCTCAAATGTTGATTCAAAATACCAGTTGATACAGGAAAAGGGCCTGATTAAATGTTAGTTTTCTGCATAATATAGTGAGAAAAGTATCACTTTTTAGCAGTTGTCTGTTTTCCTTGGTTAACCAAAGCGTCGATATTAAATACACTATTCTCTATCCCTCTCAGCTCGACTCGAGACTTATCTGACCTTCGGTAACTTTTGAGCTACAATTTGAAGTCGGACTTGAACCTAGCCTCCTTCGGAGTATTCTAGTTTTGTTTGTCCTTGAAGAATTAAGAAATGATTTGAGTCAGTTGAGTCGTCCAAGACATAGTTAGCTCTCTTCTGATCTACATATTTTTTAGATGTACTTCATACGAGTAATCTAATCAAGCGGCCGACAAAAGTTTTGTCCGTTTTTCTTCTTCTTGATTTTCTAACCTACACAGTTTTCTTTAAAAAACCAAAAGATACATGGTTTGATAGAGACTTTTGTGGTCCGTTTTTTCCTAGTCTGCCTGGAAAGGAAGAGGGACATTAGTTAGGAAAACTTTTACCCAATTGTTTTTGTTTTTTTCATATTCCCATACATAAAATATGATGCTGAACACTTATGTCGTCGCATTGTAGAAAATTAGAAACTTTTGATTGTTCGTGCCTGAGGTCTCCCTCAGTTGAGGAGACTCAACTGAGACTCCCTCAGTGAAAGTTTTTTCTTCAAAAGAACGGGCAAAAAGTATCTAGTCATATGTAATCGACGATTCGAAGCTCGACTGTTGCCTCAAAATTACATGAAAATGCTTTTTGTGGTCAAAAAAGATTTTTTTCTCTCAACTTCCACTTTCACCACTGAAGGGAAAAACGATGTGCAACGGATCCCACTTGAGATCTATACCTCATCCATAACTCTAACACTTCGGGAATACAAAAACCAGTGCCATTTTTGAAAAGTGAAGATTTAAAAAAAATGCACACAACTTTCTTTTTCAAAAATTCTGAATCCGCAGCTTTATTCAGTTTCTCACGCTCGAAATGTTTTACTTAAAATTTGAAAGGAGAAAAATCCATTTTTTTGATATTTGGCGTGCACTATCAGTAAAATTAAAATTTGGCAGACTAGAAAAAAGCGTTTTTGCCAAAATATAGAGCACAAAACTTTGTTTCAAACCATAAAGGAGGAGGGCGCATTTGAGCGAGAATCGGCCCACTCGGATTTTTTCATTTCCAATGACCGAATTTATTAGAAAAATCACGTTTCTATTATTCTCTATCATTCTCTAACGAATGATCATTCTCTTTTGGTTGGGTAGGCAGAGGCAGTCAAAAAAGAACAAGGTTTTTTCGATAATACTTTGGGAAAACTTGGATCAACAAATATTAAGTCACTAACTCAAGAACAGATGTAATCGTAAGGTTAATAATCAGTCCACTTTATTTTTTACCTGAAACCACTTGTTAATTAGTAGAAAAATATATCTATTCAATTTCAAGTAATTTCATGTGCTGTTTGTGACTAAAACCTGAGTAATTCCCCGCCAATAGGGCATCTTTCAAAGATCAGCTACAGATAAGAGGTTTTTTCCTCGTGTTTCTTTCATGTAAACGACAAGATAAATGTATAACTGGGTAGCTTATGAAATCCTCTACGAAATGCGTGTTAAATAACAGTTAACCGCAGTGTTTTGATAGCACTAGGGCGCTTAGAATAATCCTACATATACAATATAGTAGACAGTCCAGCTGTTGTAGCCCTTTTTTCTCTCAAACAAGAAAACAAACATTTTTCTATTATATACTATTTCGAAGCTCATGAAATTTGCTACAAACTGGCATACTCAGAATTTCAAGATCAGTGCGACCGCTTACTGAAAAATGGACCAGAAGTAAATCGAGTAGGGAAATATGTAACATGCTTTCAATTTTGACTAGTTTTTACATTGATAAAGAGACCTATACATTTTGTGTTCCATACGTACATTTACGACATGACCAAATGCGCACATTCAATACATAGAATACTGAAAGGATGCCAAACTAATCTTTTCTCTTACATCAGAGAGCTGGCCCCGCCCGTGAAAATCTCTAACGCAAATACATAAGAATGTTTACTTTTCTAACTCTAAAACAAACATTACCACGAGCTACAGAATGGAGGATAACATATGGTTTTATCTACTTTAGAGTTTATCCCATGTTGCCGAATATAAATGCTTGCGATTCTCAGAAAAATTGATTCCACTTCTGAAATTACAGAGACTGAACGTACTGATGAAGATATTGTGAACAGCTTAGTTTGTAGAAAATTTGACGAGCTTTAAACCGGTATAGAACACAAAATGTATAGGTCTCTTTATTAATGTAAAAACTAGTCAAAATTGAAAGCATGTTACATATTTCCCTACTCGATTTACTTCTGGTCCATTTTTCAGTAAGCGGTCGCACTGATCTTGAAATTCTGAGTATGCCAGTTTGTAGCAAATTTCATGAGCTTCGAAATAGTATATAATAGAAAAATGTTTGTTTTCTTGTTTGAGAGAAAAAAGGGCTACAACAGCTGGACTGTCTACTATATTGTATATGTAGGATTATTCTAAGCGCCCTAGTGCTATCAAAACACTGCGGTTAACTGTTATTTAACACGCATTTCGTAGAGGATTTCATAAGCTACCCAGTTATACATTTATTTTGTCGTTTACATGAAAGAAACACGAGGAAAAAACCTCTTATCTGTAGCTGATCTTTGAAAGATGCCCTATTGGCGGGGAATTACTCAGGTTTTAGTCACAAACAGCACATGAAATCAGTCGAAATTTTTTCTGTAATTGAAATGAGCCATCTTCGCTAAATTCCTTTCAACCTGAATCTCTTCTATTACCATGAATCAGCCTTTGCTCTACGGGATAGGGACGAGATTAAGATGTCAAATTTCGGTCACAAGAACATAGATCGGAAATGGAAAAAGATTTGCAGCGAACGTGACGGACCCATAAATTTAATTGCACTGAGAATTTCAAATTTTCTGAAAACAAATATTTTTTTTCAAACACGCAAGTTATTCTTGAAAATCACCTAATATTCTTGCATGAAAAAGTTACTTTTTTCTGGAAACGTTTTTAATCCATTCAAGAAAAAGTTAAAAGAAAACTGGAAAGTAAACTGTGGCTGAAAACATTTCGTTTTTTAGAGACAAAGATCAAAAACTTATTTTGCACATGTGCATTGGAAAGACTCCTAAAAAGTTTGCCTGTATTCTGTTTCAGAAAATATTTCAGCTGCTATCGCCGAAGATGTGAAAAGTTTGCGGTTAACAGCAGTCGCTGCCGATTAAGAGAGATATTGTCCGTGGTCGGCGCATTAATCTGCACAGAGGATCGTGTGACTATTCGTTCTTTTATTTAAAATTAAAAGTTGTAAAAAGTCTGTTAACCACCAAACTCTGCAGCAGCTAGTAGTAGGAGCTGAACTTTCTGACTATTACAGCCAGCTAGTAAAATTATACTTTTTTCAGGAGTATAGACTAGAATTGGAAAATTAATATATTAAAAAATTTCAAAATTCTCCAAATCGACTCGACGTTATCAAGTAGTAGTGATAATATTACATCTTTATCAAACGGCTTACAAAAGCTACGAATAAATCATGTATTCCTCTGCTTGGTCACATCAAAGATTTTCAAAAGTGGTTAGTGTATATTCTAATACCACATTAAAATTAAGATTGTGTAATGACTATCGATCGACACTCTCTCCTATTCATCTAATCACACATTTTTCGAGCACAATTGAACAATTAAAGAATCAAATTATTTC